TATTTTTATGAAATAGATTATTAATATCAGTTTTAAAAAATGACGTAGGAACTCCAAACATTGTGAATATAAAATTATGGTACCTAGCTGTAATTAGACAAGATACCTACTCATTGATGATAATACTGATCATTGCCATTGGAAGTTGACAATTAGTCATTAGATAAGATATAGTATATAATTTCAAATATGAAGGTATACTCGTATATTTTTCTTATAATGATGTAATGTTATTACTAAGTAATATAAGGTACACTTACGCAGTGGCATAATTGTGGAGGGGTAAGTACCCCCTCTGACCATTTTTTGAGAGACAAAGGTATAATTTTTCCCCCTCCCCCAGATAATCCAACAATACAAATAGCACCTTATTACCTTTATTATAACCTTTATTAATGAATTCTTATGAATATTATTTAACAATATTGGTACCTAGTACATGCTACCTACAATTTATGTTTATCTAAACCATAAAATGAGTTAAAAGACTTATGTAAAATCAAACAATTAGATATAGTGTATAAAATACAAATAATAAAAATATGTTCTAATTGGTTAGGGGGAGGGGTGTAGGGGTTTTGGTAATAATAAATATATTATATTGCCCCCCTAGGTTTTTTCCCAGTTACACCACTGCACTTACGTACGTATTATAAAATAGACTAAAAAATATTTTCCGAGAAAATCCCAAATTATTCAGATTATTTCATAAAAAATTATACTTAAGCCAAAAAAAAAAAAAAATTAGTTTTTAAATCATAATTATCATTTATAAAAATTAGAAGAAGAAATATATGAACAACATTTTGAATGCAAAATAATGCTTTATAAATTTTTACACCTAAATATTTCATCAATAATATAAGTAGATACGATTGGTACAATATTTAATTTATGTTGTTGGTCAGAAGGGTCATCTTAGGAGGTGTTTCCTGACAGGTTGTTATATGGGGCTGAAGGGGTCTTTTTAACACCCGAAATTTCAGATAAAAATGTATAGTCTGCTCTATAAAATGTAAATTGTAGAAGCTCACATTATCATTATTTAATAAATTATTAATTTTGAATTATTGATGATATATAGTGTACTTATTCATTTTCTATTATTATGTAGATATTTTATTTCATTAGTTTTATGAAAAAAAGTTATGATTATACAGTAAAAATTAAAATTGTTTACTTAAATTCTAATTTTTATTTTTAATTTGTTTTAATTTAAATTGTAAAATTTTGTTTAAAGGAAATTCCCCAGTCCCCCTAACCCAAAAAACCTAACTATGCCTCTGGTTGACAGGTATCCAACCATCACATTTTTGGCCTTTCTTTTTCTCTTTGCCCTTGAATTTTCATTTTCATAACCACTCTTACTGCTTTTGTTTCTTCTCACTTCATCGCATGCACAAATCATTTAAATATATTTACTCTCATCTTGTCCACTATCGACAATACACTAATACCTCTCACATATTCTCGTCACTTCACTCATCCATCTAAGCATTTTCATTTTTACAACACTCATACTCAGTTCTATTCTTCTATCAACCGCCAAACACTCCGAACCAAATACTAAAGTTGGTTTCACTACACTCCTCTAAAATGTACCTTTCAGCATCATTGGAATTCTCTTATCAAATAAAACGTTTGATGCATCTTTCCATTTTATCCAATCACACTTTATCCTTTACATCCATGCCAAAGCCCCCGTCTTTTTTTTACAGATGATCCTAAATATTTAGTTCTTGACTTCACCTATCATATCACCATTTATTGTCATTGGTCTCCTCGTACCCTCAACTTCTTGGTATTTTCCTCCAAAGTCACACTCTGTATAGGTACTTTGTTTTATTTCTACTAATTCTCAATCCCTTTACTTCAAAGGCTAACCTCCACTCAATTAACTTTTTATTAATTTCTTACAGATTTTATCTCACCAAAACTGTAATGTCAGCAAACATCATACTACATGGTACCTCGCCCTGTATATATACCGTAACTTCATCCATAATCACAGAGAAAAAATAAGGGCTTAGAGCCGACAACTGATGCACACCAACTCCGAACTAAAAAATGAAAATATAAAAATAAAAGTTTACCAAACCTAAATTATAGTTATTCATGTCTATCAAATAATAAAGGTACAATTCAAAAAAGTTTAAACTCCCCAGTCATCAAATTAGTACTATAGTATAATTACTTGAAATTATATTAAATAAATTTAGTTATGTCTAAGGTCTAAATAATTGTTTAATTTAAAATTAAAATTTTTTTCTTAAAAAAATATGATTTAATGGCCATTTCGTTATTGTTATAAATGTCTTCATAATAAATATAAATAAATTATGAGAAAAAAATTAAATATATAATACTTCAAATGATTTAAATATTATATTTAAATAGTGTAAATAAACAAAAATATACTCAATCATATATTTCAACGAAAAACCAAAATAAATTTGATAAATATTTATAATTAATCATAACACAATACGTTAAGTCAAATTTTTTAAATCATCAATAATGTCATCAGGATTTACATTTTTAGTCATTTCTTGCTCTATAGTTAAAATCATTAAGCTATTTAATCTCTTTTGAAGCATAGTACTTCTTAATTTTGACTTCACCAATATTAATTTAGTAAATTATCGCTTACATGTATAACTTGTGACTGACATTACTGCAAATGTCTTTATCACAATAATAAATAGTTCAAAAATACAATGTTTATCAAATTATTTTAACCATTGAAGCCAAACCCAAAGTGTTTTAGCATCACAGTTGACTTCAATTTGTTTTGTTATAACAACTTTATTTCGACTACCAATTCATCTTAATTGCACTTTAAGTGTTTACTTAATACATATAAATGTATTAAATGAATATGTAAAATGAAAAAATGAAAAATATAAATGAATCTCTTCATAATAGTTCGGTTAGCAAATCTTTGTTCTTTGGTTAGCAAGGCTATGTGTTCAGAGTATGCAGCAGCATACCCTGCATACCTCCTGCGCATGCTTGTGATGGTTATTATAGTAAGCGTGCGCAAACACTAATTACAGGGTAGTCATACATAACACATTAACATTTAATATTAACAACAAATTTGGATGGGGTAACTTAATTTAACTTAATAATTATATTTTTCCAACATTCTTATACATGTATTTTCCGTTTACAGATGTTTCGGAATGGTTGAACATAATTTGGTTACCTACCTACTTATTATTGTGATAATATTGAATATTTTGGTGAGAGAGGTAAGGTTCACAGAGTAGTCAAATGCGCACGTTTATGGCTATTATAATTATTAATATTGCTATAAGCGCTTCTGGATTTATATTGATAATTTATTAACTATGGAAAATCATAATTTTACCATCACAATACTTTGAAGTTTCAAAATATTGATAATATAAATAAACTTTATTAGAGTCGGTGTTGACTTCAGTGGTACAACTAGAAAAGGGTTAGGGTAATACCCTAGAAATAAATATTTAATATGAGTTTAAATTGTTATCTAACATTTGTTATGAATAGTTTCTGAAATAAAAGAAAGAAAAGTAAACGTAGCCTGTAGGTTGTCAATATTTTTAATTATAAACAAGTTAGTTGCAGGGGTGTATTTAGACTTACTTCTAAGGGGGAGGGGACTCAAATTTTTCTTTAATTCAGGCTCAAAATTTACAAGTAAAATTTTTGGTAATATTTATATTAGGTGAATCCTTAATATTTATGGTTTTTTTTTTTTTTTAATTTAATGCCGAATCCACTTAGAATGGTCTTTTGTGTAGTTCTATTTTAATACCTATCTGTGTTTTGAAAGTTTCGCTTGTGTTTTATCTAATTTTTCACTAAGTATGGACTGGGTCTTCAATCAAAATAATACATATTATTTATCGTTATAGGACATATAAACATTATAAGCAACTGAGCGTTTAACGTTTTTTTTAACGTTATTCAATTTAAGCTTTTAACGTTATACAAATTTAAACGTTTAAACAATTTTCCGTTTACCGTTATTGACAATTAAAACATTATAAAAATTTAGCGTTTTGCGTTATTAAATTAGTGTAAAATTTGAAACGTTTTCAAATGTAGTAATACTATAAAATAAATCATAATTTTTGTTTCTTAATAAAATACCCATTACTTATATAAAAATTGTCTTGGTCTAAAAATTCTCGGGAGGGGGGGGGGCAATTGCCCCCCCATCCCCCCCCCTCAAATACGCCATTGGTTAGTTGTACAGTTAGCATCCAAAAATACTCTATAATTTTCCACTCCATTTATCAAATGAAATTTAAACTAACAGATGAAATATAAGATTTTAGTTTTTCGCATGAAGTTTTCAACACATACTAATTAAATAAAGGTATAAAAAATTAGAAAAATGAATACATTTATTTTTTCAATGTACCACTATCTTCTATTTTAGAACCTAAAAAATATGCATCGTCCTGTACAACTGCAGGTACTTTCACTTTATAATCAAATTTCTAAATTTTAAATTTTATCACAATAAAAACATAAAATTAACACATTAATTTCTTTTCTTCAAAGTGATTATATCAATTAACCAATATTTGGCTATAATAATATTAAATGTAAAATTACACTAGTATAAAATAATAATGAAGATAGGCTATCAATTAAAATCTTAAATAATAAATTGAAAATCATCAAAACTTGAGTTCAACTTTTGAGTTAAAAATGTTTATGAAGTATACCTTAGCCCAGCACTTGGTACCAAAAAAATTAAAATAATTAACAATGTTAGGTGCCTAAATGAACTAGATATAAAACTAAAATTTAATTACTGATATATTACAATAAAATAATGGCAGGAGAGTTTAATATAACTGCCTAAAATACTTTAAAGCAAATCAGTACAATACCATAACATTGACTTAAGTACCTACATGAAATTTCTCTTACTCGAGGAAAAAAAATTTATCTTGTAGCTTCATAAAAAAATAATATTTACATAAAATATTTTAGATTACCGTTGTAAGCCCAACAGGTGGAATAATTGTTGATTTTCTAGTAGGCCGTCTAGGTTCTGGAGAACTACCACCATGTCTACTTCCAGTAGAATGTCGCCTTATAGGAATAATACCTGCAAATCTCCATCTTGATGGAGGTATATCTCCATCAGAAGGAACTTGGAGAAAATTTGAAGAAGTATTTGGTTCAATATTATTATTCATCATTAAAAGTAAATTAAATTTAAAAAAAATACAGTAAATAGGTACATAATTAAAACAAAACTGTTTTATTAATGTTTAACAAAAAAAGTTGACACCTATAATTGAATCATTAGGCTTATCTAACATAGTAAAATGAGCTATCTTATCTAAGTTTCAATTGGTTATTGGTATTTAATCTTCATACTTATATATAAAAACGTAATAATAGTATTGACTAATTCATTTTTATTTAAATAATAGTGTGATTAAAAATTAACAAAATTAAATGAGTGTATTTTAAATTGTACAAACATTTTTACACGATACAAATTTAAAACAAAAGAATGAATATTATTTGTAGTTAAAAACTATTGCCATCATTAATAAACAAATGTCCAATAAGTAGAGGTTCTTCAGTTTCAATAGCAACTTCCACAATTATTCCAACCATTTCACATTTTAATTTATGCAATAACCAACCATTTTCTAGTGTTAAGTTATAAATTTTGGAGTTGGGAATAATACAGCTATAGTCATCACAATTATTAAAAAATATATTATTATCACCTTCAACACCAAACTCCATTTTATATGGCATTCCATACGGATCTATTGCACCCAAAAATATTTTGTGAGAATCATAAGGCTTTAATACTTTAACTGTTATTTCAAAATACAAAGTTGATTTAATTTCAAAATGACAAACAAATATTCTATGGTAAGTTGTGTTTTCGTTGTTACCATTTAATCTTAAGCAACCACCACCTGTAATTGCTTCTCCATCAACATGAGAAATACAATGGAAATTACCATCAGATAGACATAATGGAACAGATGGTTGAAAATTAATTTTTGATAAATTATACCATGAATCCAAAGAAGACAAACCAAAATTGCTGTGATTTTTAGAACCATAACCTCTACAAAAGTAAGTAGAAAATGGTAGAGCAGAAGGAATATGAATATACATATAAGGATAGAGTTTTCTCCAAAACGTATCTTCAATCGTAGTAAATTTATTTTTATCAATTAATGTCTCATGAGTCCAACCAGGTGCAAAAATAGCTACAGACAGGTCATATTTTCTAATAATTTCTAATGACTTATAACAGTCAAGACCTCCTATGCAATTTCGACCAAATACATCTACTCCAACATAAACATCATTAATTCTACTTCCAGCATTGGTAACAGATTTTACAAGATCTTCTTCTTTCCAGTTATAATTAAGAAATATACCATCACAAGCTTGAAATGCTAATTTATTATGATTGTTTAGCTGGTTCTGCCAAATAAGTTTTCCTGTTTCCATACTTAAAGAATCATACCATATAACTTCAGAATGTATTATTACAGTTTTTAATTTAGTTCTTAATAAACTAATAGTTTCTATCATATTTTCAATGTTTTCTAATTCCAATTCATTTTCAATATTAAAAAGATAACCATCAAATTTAAAATATTTACAAATTTCTACTAGTTTATCAATTAAATGATCACGTTTTTCTAAATTACTAAAGATTTGCAACCACAAAGCGTTTCCATCATTCCATTCTGTAATTATTGTCCCAAGAACTTTAACACCATGTTTATGTGCAGCATTTATCCATCCAATTGGTGGTATAGTAATAAAATGATGACTAAAATAAACAAAAGTATCTACTATAGACCAATTGTAAAATGTGTATTCATTACTAGTTTTAGTCCCATTCACAAATCGATCATTTATATAACCACCTTGCATATCATGACATATAAGTGTTTTAGGAAGGCCTTGATTGTGTAACCTTTTAGATGTTAAAAATCGCTCATGACATTTATAATCACCACCACAAATGGAATAATTTGCCCGATTCTGCAAATGTATAACTGGAGGAGATTCAAATAACGGCTTCCAAGATATGGCTTCTTCCAAAGATTTTATCGGCAATACTTCAGTTATTTCCATTTTGGTAATTGTTTAGTACATGTTATAAAAATATACGATATCAACTTTTGCACATTAATTATTAATTACCGTTTAATTTCTAAAATTTTAATATACACTAAACAACAAGTAATTAATTGACAGATTTAATATTCAATTAACAAGATATAATCACAGAAAAAACAACTATGATACGAAAAACAATTATTTTAATTAGTCCATTATCAATAGTCTAACCAAGATTGTTGGCGCCATTATTTTGATAGATATTATCAAAGATGGTATGTAATATTATTTTGATGATGGTTTAAATCGTATCATTCTATAGTTAGATTTAAAATTTAAGATTTATTAATCTAACTCGATCCATGGATTATCTTGGTTCGCGATTTCAATACATAGATATTTAAAGACATCTCCAATATCTATATTTAAATACATTTAATTAAAAATTGTGACCCAAATCCGAAATTTTGATAACCTTAGATAACTGTTTGATAAAAATTAAAACTATAACAAAGTTAATCCTTAATAGTTTTAATTATTATTTCGTAATTCCTGATTCCTGTCTTCTAAAAGTATTTAATAGTTAAATGTTACTTCTTAACAAACTTTCAATATTTAGCGAAATTTTTCTAATAATACTTTTAAACGTTTAGATCAGTGGTTCTAAAACTGTGGTACACGTAACCTTAGGGGTACGAGTCTGGCCAACAAACTTTTAAATTTAAATAGTGGAAAAAACTCCTAAATTCAAGCTAATATTTGCGAATTTCAGGCTTAAAACGATACTGTAACTAACTGTTTAATTCATCATTGATTAAAAGCGCCTGTTGTTATACCAAGTGCACAGTCGAATATATTAAAATTATATTGGGCACGACATTAAGCTATACTAGGGTTGCCAATCGTACTACATTGAACAGGACTGTCCAACATTTGTTTGATTTGTCCTACGTTTAACAATGCTATTACCTTTTTAAATGACTATTCTCGTTTTACAAAAATACCTATTTATATTTCATTATTATTATTCTAATTATATCAATTTATTATTTAATTAAGGAGGTAAACATTCAAATGTCATAATTAATAAGCTAATTTAATAAAATGTAATACATGTTTTTGTTAGTTATCATTATTAAAGTATACACTGTTGGTTGTAGCATTTTTTACTAAACTAAGCAGTGCCGTAGCTATTAGAGGAATGAGCCATGCCCCCTTCACCACAAGCCATATTATTTATACAGTATATATAATCAGTAAAAATAATCATTGTGGTGGTCTTTTTATTTTACATAATGTGTACGTCTTTAAATGTTTTATATATATTTCAATATACTAAGAAAGGGCACACAAAAAGTTTATTGGTAAAAAGCGGTAGTGTTTATAAAAGTTTGAGAGTCCCTGGTTTAGATTACTGCTCTTTGGCGATATCTCTAGCTATTATCACTTACTTATATTGATAACGCCATGAATGTAAACACATAATATAACAATAAATATTATGGCTACAACATAACCTCATAGTTAATACGAAATTGTTCAAATCCATCAAACATGAGTTCATCATCATCTAAATCTATAGCCGAGCAAATATCTAAAATGAATATTGATGAGGTAAGAAAATTAATATCTTTTCACGTTAATCAAGCAAACAATAATAACAATCGTGCAGATTCAATAAAATGGATAAGTGCATTGATTACTTCCAATATGATGCGGACTTTGAGAGATCCATCTTTTCATGAATCTCTATTTCTATTGAAACCATTGAAAAATGTGTCATCTTATCATTGGAAATTATTAAAATTAAAAGGACGATTAGATACGATAACTGAACGAATGATAAAAAGAAAAAGTGGAACTTTGGAACCTTACACTACTTATATGGATGAAGATTCAACTGATAAAATTGATAAATTTTTATTAATGAGTCAAGTAAAACCATTGGAGTCCGATGACGATGACATGGATTTAAATAAAATTATATAATTTATTTTAATATAAATAAATTGTAAACAAATTAATAATGTAATGTATGTGTATAAATATTAAATTGTATCATTTGAACTGTATTTTACAAAGTTTAATTGCATTATTCTTCAGTTTCAATCACCTTTTCTTGACAAATTCTATCAACTAGATTATTGAATTCTTCATGTTGGTCAGCAAAAACATGATGGCCAGCATTAGGAATTATCTGCATAGAAATTCAGTACATATTTTAATTTTTAAGTTTAATAATGATAGATTTACCTTAATCTGTACACAATTTTGTACATCTTTTTTAACCATTTCACCAATACTTTTATCCATCCAAGTATTTTGTCCATAAATAAATGTAATAGGTATTCTTTTATCTAAATGATGAATGCGGTTAATCATTGGGTTTTTTGCCCATCCAAAGCCAGTTACTAAGGTAGTAAATGCACTCTCGCCTCTAAAAAAAAAAATATTAAATAAAATATGCAATGTATATAAAAATAAAATTTTTGTTTTTTTTTTATTCCCAATGTAAGATATTATTTAAATTATTTCTAAAATCAAATAAACATTACTTATATAAAAAATACAAAATACTTAGCTTCACATTTTAATATTAAACTATTTATTCTTAATCATTGTATAATGTTATATTTAATATAGGGTTACTATATTTTATTTGGCGAAAACCAGAAAAAATTATTTTTTTCGTTTTCTCTTATTGACATAACTTTTTATTGATTTTTAACTATACAGATTCAAAAATATATTTATTTATTAATTATTTACTTCTATGGCATCCCCCTCCAGGACAAAAAATTTTAAATAAATACAGTATATGACTACTCTATGTTACAGTACTTAAATTACCAACCAAGTGATTGGTTCATTACAATTTTACACAACAAGAAGACTACAACTGACAAAATATTAAATAATAGTTGATTTCTTAAGTGAAATATACATACATTGTGAGGAAACAGAAATACGAAGAATGTATTTGACAAAAATAATAGTCATTTATTTGAGAAAATAATTAAAAATAGATTTTGTCAGTCAATTAATCAACTTTTTATTTCATGACTATAATATTATTGTTATTCAATCTAGGGTTTAATAAAATATAAGCATACATTATTAAAGAGTCATTCTGGGACAATTTGCTGTCCAGAAACATATCATTAAGACACCGGAATGCCATACTTGAATCTGGTACTGTCTTGGCCTAACCAGGAAATATGCTAACCCTAATTTAATAACTAAAAATGTAACCATATTATGTATTACAATATCACATTATATAATAGGATACCAGTCTATATATATTTGTAAAAATTAAATTAAATAGCATATATAGAATTTCAAACTAGGTAGATTTAGTCTGATTCATTTTGAGAGTTATATGGTTGCAGACCATAGATTACTTTAATGAAAGGTGCAATTTTATACGGTATAATATTGGTTAGTGACTTAAAATCCAATGATAAGGTATCTATTTGTTCAAGTTAATTAATGAAATATTGAAAACATTGAGGAAAATTTTACTTATACATTAGCTGATGTGAAAAACTAAATGTAATTACTAAAATAAATATATATGAGTATATTGTTTGAATTTGATTAAAAATTAAATACTAAATTATTAATCAAAATCATAATATTACAGTGAAATCATAAATAATATCTTACGTTGCACGTTGAGAATTACATTGAAAAATATATTCCCCGACTACAGTGGTTTGTTCTCCAAGTACTGGTTCATATTTTTTTAATATATCAGATCGCAAATTTGTTACTAACCATTGACCTTAAGAATCAATGAACAAATTAAATAATTTCATTGATATTATTCATTGTTGTAGTTAAGACCTGGAAGGATATGTATTTTCATGTATTTATATAATGGTGTAAAAATTGTTTAATTAGCCATGTTTGATTCATACTTTAACAAACTTAATAATGAAATAATATTTTGCATAAGAATATACTTCAATTTTATTTTTCTTTATGCTTCAAAAAATGTAAACAAATAAAAATAATTTCAATCAACCTCCATAAAAAACACATTTTACTCCCTATTAATTTCTTTTGACAATATCTTATTCCCAATCAAAACATTATCTAATTATGTATATTCAATCCCCAAACATTTATGCAACTACATTATATTTAAATCAATACATAAGATGTCTTTATACTAATAAATAAAAAAGTTGAGCCTAGTTTGTACTATATAATTGTAATTGTTACAGTAGTTAGAGGATGTTGAAATAACATGTGTAAATAAAATTAATGTTTTGTAATATAAAATATAACATGGTATGAAAAATGCTTCAACATTCATCTCTAACAAAATAGTAAAAAAATTAAATGTTCTATTAATATATAATAAATTGGCCGGATGGAATTATATAAAATAGTAAGTGCTTTTTTCCATGTATATTAATATAAGTGAAAAAAAATACACTAATGCCCATATGTATAGTCCTGTTGTTATGTATCACATATAATTGATTAAGTATGCTAATCTATTAAATGTATAAGGCTTTTAACTTACTTTATATACTTTTATACATGTGGCTGCCATAATAAATAAATATAAAATAAAAATTTTTATAGAAATTAACAAGTTCTATTCTCGTAAGGTACCATAATTATAATATAAAAATATTACTTTATTATAATAATTTTAATAGACATAGAAAATGCTTATAATTTAAGTTTAAAAAATAAACTTCCAGGCCCTTACCCAAAAACAAGTCCAATTTTAAAATTTTAATTTAAAAGAAATTACCATAAGGCCCTACAAATCTTACTGGCCATAGTGGATTTAATGATTTAAGTGCATAAAATATTCCTTTAGCCCACCAAGGAATTTTGCTTTTAATGTTTTTGTTTTCCTCTGGAAATCCCCATGGATCAGCAAGTATTAAATGGTGAACCCTAAATAATTAATGTTAAAAACTTTCAAAATAATTATAACTAGAAGTAAAATGGACGGTAATACCTTTCAGGGTGATGTATAGAATAAGCAGTAGCTAAATATCCTCCAAAACTATGTCCTAATAAAATGAATTTGTCAAGTTTAATCTCTGATCTCCATTTTTCTATAGCGTTTACATATTGTTGTTCAATTTGTTCAGGGTCTGTACTAAATTTTGGTCTTGAGCTACGACCAAATCCCAATAGATCCATAGCATACACAGGTCTACGATTATTAGATATTTTATCAACATTCATACACCAAAGTCCAATACCAGCACCAAAACCATGTAATAAAACAATGGGCGTTTCATGTTTTTCATTGTTTACTTCTAATGTCCATATTTTATCTTCTTGTTCAACAACAGGTCCTAGGTTAACATACCGTGTTCGGTAAGGAGATTGAACATCTAACAAAACATACATTAATTAGATATATAAAACAAAATTAAATTTATAATTAACATACACGATAATAATTTTCGCTCAGCTTCTTGTAAAAATTTCCACGACATTGAACTCCAAGAAAACCAACTCCAAAATAAACACCCTCTGCAATGATAGTTCATAAATAAGTTATTAACACATAATAATATTTAATACAGCATAATAAAATATTTGGTGTACATAAAATTTGCATACCTGTATACTGAAGAAGCTTCCAAATCGTTTACTTGTGTCATTGTTAAGACACTTTAATTTTATAAAAAAAATATTTTAAAACTGGCAGTAACATTTATATTTCTTATTTTTAGAGATATAAATATATAAATGAAAACTATGCAATGAAAAAAAATAAAAGCGGTCTATCAGTAAAAGTTTTTAATTATATGATTTATGTATATATTTATTATAAGCACACTATATATTATTATAAATACATCGATCACAAAAAATAGATAACAATATAAAATAATTCGGTTTAGGTATAACTTTTACCCTACAAATCACCTGAGTAATTAAGATCTACTAGATTAATATAAACCACGGTTATAGATAATAAAGTTGCGGAACGAACCATGAAAATCTGAAGCTTAAAACGTATACTGGCTTATACACCAACACACAGCGCTCTCTGGGTAATAAATTGTATGACTACATTAATAAATTATATTATGTTATTCTGTATTTCTGTCATACCTATTTTTTATTGTTTTTCAATAATTATACAGAAGTAAAATATAGTACCTACCTATACAATAATATTTATATTCGTATATACGATTATTATAGGTTTCAATCTGATAGTTTTCATCCTTCTTAAATATTGATGGAATTGCTCCATCCAAAAGTTTAGGAACTAAAAGACATATCTAAATAACAATTTATCATTTATTGAAAAATGGATATAAATTACAATTAAGGTCCACTGAAAAAAATAATAATATATTCTTACTCTGTATTTATTTTCACTTTCACCGGATTCCCAAGTAGACTTAATATCGCTCTCCTTCAAGTGTGAAGCACACACTGTTACTTTTTTAAAAAACAGTTTTTAATGCATTTTCCCATTTATTTATTTTCTCTATGCTTTTAGGGACCCCAAAATTTGTTTTTGAAGCTTCATGTGGATATTTCACACATCAATTAGCCATACTGATATGTTTTTTTTAAACTTAGTCTTTGGTCTTCGATACGACAAAATATCTTATATACAATTCATAAAGAATTTTATTTCGTAAATTTCCTAAAAAAAAGTTAACTAGCATAAATTTCATCGGATTGAATGATTTTTGTAACAGTCAGAAATGTAATGTATCTAAAATGTTATTATGTTAATTCAAGAGTTTCATTAATAATACACGTTTTAATATAATACAGTTTATATACCTAATGTCTTATAAATCTATTATTATTATTATCTATTAATTATTATTTCATAAGAAAAATGATATAGTTAATATTGAATATTTTATTTATTTAAAAAAATCAATTTTTTATTATTACCAATATTATTATTTTTGTACATTTGTTATTATTTAGAGCTTATAAAGTTATAAACATTTTTAATATTTGTATTTTTAAAACACTGTGTACATTTAAAGTGTCAAGCTAAAATGTTACTCAATAGTTTCATAAACGACACACACTTTAAGATAATAATACATTGTATACGAGTAGATAATATTTTGTACCTAATAGTTGTATCGGAATCTTATAATATGTTACAGTTGAAATTATGGGATGGTAAATTTCTTCCCTCACTAACGGAAACCACCTATAGGTATATCAATAGTATTATCATTTACAGGCAAAGAGCAGTTGCTTGGTGTACCAGAACTTATATCGGGTTCTAGACAAAATCAAGCAATTATCAAAGCAGTATATCAGATTCTTGAAATTTGGGGTTTAACCAAAAAAATACAAGCTTTATGTTGTGATACAACCACATCCATCATGGGTCGACTAAAAGGCGCTTGTATATAATTAGAGCAAGAGCTAGAACGTTATATACTATATTTACCATGTAGACATCATATACTTGAAGTTTTATTGAGAAGTCTTTTTGAAATAAAAATTGATATTGCATCCGCCCCAGATGTACCAAACGTTTCCAAAAAACTTGGCCTAATATTAATATCAAAAACTTTCATAGTGGATTGGAAGATACTTTTATTTTTCAATCAGTACACAATTTCAAAGAAAACCTCTTAATGTTCAGTAAAAATCAATTATGTCAGTTTCAACCTCAAAATAACAATAAGGAACTGTTAAAACTTACCATTATATTCCCAGGTGAAAAATCTCAAAATGGTATATTTTTCAAAGTTCCAGGACCCGTACATCATTCTCGTTGGATGGCAAAAGCCTTATATACTCTGAAAATATTTTTATTTCGAAACGAATTTAAATCAACATTAAATGAACATAATGCTTTCCCCGACTTGTGTATTTTTATATTTCAGATATATGTTAAATAATGGTTTTGTGCTCCAGCTACTGCTCTAGCACCAAACATGGACTTACAATTTATTAAAGAGCTAATATTGTACTAGGTCATCGATATACAAATTTCAAAATTAACATTAAAAAAAATGTGTAGTCATTTGTGGTACCTAAAACCAAAAGTAACAAAATTAGCATTTTTTGGTGACAATATATCACTGAAAACAAAGGCAAAAAAGGTTAAAGCAATGAAGAATTTTGATATCAAATCAAAATACAAAAAACGAATAATCTTATAATCAAATAAAATATACGATTATGCTAATAAAGATATCGATAATTTTATATCAGTCTAATCTAGGAATTTTTTTTAATAGATTCGGTATAATGTTGGACTTTTTAGATTTAGATCAGAAATTGTGGAACGAAAATGATCAATATAAAAAACGAAAAGTATTAGTAAATAACTTAACTGTAGTTAATGATATTGCAGAGTGAGGAGTGAAATTAATTGAAGATTATAGCAAGTTAATAACTAAAAGCACTTGGTTATCAGTAGCCGTCGCAACAGGTTGTCCTTTGTGCTCTGATTACCGAAATATTTATACTTCGTTACCGTTTTAACATGCCTTCAGAGGTCACAGATCTCCTCAAACCCGTAATCTACCTGACACCTCAAGAAAAAGAACAAACGTAACTACACTTACTCCACCCTTTCAAAGCAAAAACAAATTTACTCTACTTCAAAACGTCGACGACGAATCTGAATAAGATGGCGCTTCCACTAACGACAATACTCAAGACGCTCAGGTCAGTCCCAAAATACCACCAATTTATGTCTACAATATCTCAAAATACGAAACTTTCCACACTTCTTTATCTAATCAAACATTTAACGATTTCTCGATCACACACTCAAAAAATTTTCTAAAATTAAATCTAAGCTCTATCATTGATTATAGAATAGATAGATAGTCAACGCAATGTTAATATTTGGCGACTACTCATAAGATGCAACCGCTATGGAGCGCTGGCGTCGCTGGGATGCAAGGAGGTGGTACCTCTATCGTAGGTCGATGAACGACGTACGCGGTGGGTGCTAGGATGCAAGGTGGTGGTACCTCTATCATAGATAGTCATGAAGACGGTAAGGCAATCACGCGGGGTCGGCGAAAAATACCGTCGTTCTATTTATAGAATTATTTTTCATGTAAAATGAAAAATTGAAGTACCATTATATTTATTCCCATTATAATCGATAAAATTAGTGATTATTATTTTATTATCATTATTTCGTCAATATTTTACCGTTTACTCTGTGAACATACGAATTACGAATTAGTCTTCACGTAAGTATTCTTCTCTGCAGTTGTCACTTGTCAATGATAAAAGGTCTTACTTGTTTTATATTCTAAGTATTTTGCCTTATATTGTTATTTGTTACGTACTTTATTTTTTATTACTTTTACGTCTTGTGAGTAATTTTAAAAATGTCTGGTAACAAGTGCCAATTTTTAATTTGTGGAAAGTCGAAGAAAACATTTCCAAACTTGAGTTTTTTCCGTTTTCCCAATGATGAAAGAAGAGAAATTTGGATAATTAATTCGGGTAAATAAATGTTTTAAATTTATAAAAAGAGCTCAGGTGTTATTTTTTCGGTTTATTAGATTTGTTACCAAGTTAGCTATAAATCCCTTTTATTAAGTGATACATTTTTTGTATATTTCGGATAGCAACTTATTTTGTTATTTGTATATTATTTATCAAACACATATAAACTGATTTTTTGTTTTGGAGTTTTGGTGGAGGTACCTACAGTGGCGTATTTTGAGATTTTTTTTGGGGGTGTCCTGACTCCTGGCAATACTTTATCTCAACAAATATTAACATAGTTTCATCACGAATTCATACCTGATTATAATACATCTTAATACTTCAAGTGTACTGTATACTGTACACAGTATATATTTTATATCGTCGGCCTTTGCTATAGTAATTAGTTGACAATAACTTGTATTCGAAGAAAGATAATAAGGTGATAACCAATAATACGGCTCACCCGACATCACGAAACGATAATACAATTCTAAGGATTACGTAGTTCACGGTTTACTGCGAAAGTTCAAATAATATTTTGCTAATGAATAGTACCTATTTTCTGGTATAAGATGAAATATACATTATTCAATTTTCAAAGCAGTTTTAAAATATTTTGTCATTCGTCAACAATATTTTGCAATACTTCAGTAATAAATAGAACTACAAAAAAATTGGGGGGGTTTAACCCCCAGGACACCACCCCTAAATACGCCACTGGGTATCTATAATGAATAATATAGGTAAATCTATATAAAAAACTATATCACTAAGTTCATGTTAAGTACTAATTAATTAATTATAAAAAACAAATAATACCTATTTAAATTTTGTTTATATCTCTGTGCATTAACTGATTCAGGTACTGTAAAACATTTTGTATTAGAAGCTTCGCAATACTTCACAGATTTACATAAATTAAAAAAAGGAAAATTAACACAACCACCCTGTTTTAAAGGTTTTAAGCAGACCATTAATAGTGTATTGCAATTTTTTGAAGAAGAAAAATCTAATGATATAGTATTTTTAATGACCAACCGTTTGAATCAGGATGTATTAGAAAATCTTTTTAGTATTTTTCGACAAAAGGGTGGTTATAACAAGAATCCAACAGCCAGAACGATTAGGACTTCGATAAGAAGTAATTGTATTTTTTCTTTATGCACATCTACTAGAACAAATTGTGAGGCAACCTTAGAAGATTATAATCCTATAGTAATTGACCCAATAAGACCTCAATATCAAGTAAATTCCTAAAGGATTTATCATTAAATTCTGATTCTGA